TATGTTGGATCTGCTACCTTGGTAAGCTTGAGGGAAGCTGTATACTATACTCTGTTTTCCAACTTTTCAACTGGAACAACGAACTGCCTTCAAAAGGACAATGGGAGTTAATTCATGGAACACGACAGAAATGGAACTTCAAAAAGATGTGGGCTGGATATACCGTATTTCCTTGAATACGTGCTTATACTCAAGGCAAAATGTTATGCAAAAGCGCCCCTTGAATAGACGTTCCTTATCCCTCACTTTCTACAGTGGGGATACAAGGAAAGCCGGCCTGTTTATAATGCCACTTTACGTAAAACTTTTTAAGCTTCAACAACAGCGAAATCAGCACAGGAGAGTGGTTTCTTTTCTGTTAAAGTCACTTCCAGTTATTTCTATCTCCCTATGCTGTCAGTTTTCCTTATGTACTTTTTCTGTGATTTTCATTTTTGTCCTGTTTCTGCGCTCACCCAATAAGGGACCTTCTTCCGATATGCCCCCCCCCCCCCCCCTCTATTTAGCCAGACGAGCGCTTATTCGAGGAAATACGGTAACTAGTTCGGTTGCTGTAGAGTATCAGGAGAACCCCCTACTTTCCTGTCTGTGCCTCTATTTGAAGAGACTACAGTACAAGTGCCTCGCTTTTGAAGCAGGCGTGTTATCGATCTTCGGCTGTAATGTGTCCCCCGATCGAAGGGGACTGAATCGGTCATAAGGCGTCAGACTTCCAACTTTACAGGTAAATTTATTCCAAACTCAGCGCTCAAATTACACCCAACGGAATGGATAATCTCTATTGAAACCTCTCTGACAGGTACAGGCGAACTTGTTTTCGTGATGGTTTCATCAACCGAGTTGATGATGTAAATTGGCCACAGTAAAGAGTTTCAAAGCCGACGTTTCGAGCGTTAGCCCTTCGTGCTTGCAGCGGAAGAGGAGAAAAATTCACAAAATACATCAAAATTCATGCTTCCATATCAAATGCAAGCAGTCGACTATGAATAACTTTCAGTTCGTCGGATTCATCCATATCCAGATTTTAACCAAAGGTAATGCTTTACTAAGGGCTAACAATACAAAATTTAATCAAAAGATGAGCATCACATTACCGGAGAGGTCGTGTAATCAAAGGCAATTGTGCAAGCGTGCTCCTTATTCGTAGTGCACATATTGGTGACGTGCGTTTACACATTGAAGTATGCCAGGGGCGAGGGGGGTGGGTGAGGATTCCTGTTTATCGGTACGATATGGCTTAGCGTCAGCTGTGCAGAAGGTGGAGTTGCTTTTGTTTATACTGAGACACGGATCGCGTTATCACTGCCTAGTCTCGTTTTTCGTGCAAATAAAAAAAATGAAGGATTTTGTTTTTAATGGGTGCAGAATCAATAATGCCCCAAACGGCTGCTACTGATCCGTCATCTCCGCTAGGAACGCTTGCAAGTCCCTAACCACGCTGTCGAATGATGGCCTTGCTTCGGGATCCTGATTCCAGCACCTTTCCATGAGTTGCCAGCATTGTTCTGGAAACACGTCCAACCTTTCTGGTGTCTTGTTTTCAACGGCATTCATCATGAGCATAACCAGAGGTAGAAAGTGGCGGTTTATATTCTGTGGTTGGTTGCCCTGGCCTTCGCACACTCGCCAGAGCAACATACCGAACGCGTACACATCAATGGATTTGTCGTACTGTTGTTTCATCATTTCGGGCGCCATGTTGATAGGAGTACCAACCAACGAGTTATTGATGAGACCCTCGGGTTTACAGAGACCCAGATCAGTTAACTTTGCGTTGTTTTCCTCGTCCAACTAAAAGGAGAAAAGGAGAAAATCAAATTCGCTCGTCCAAAAATGTAATGTACCACTTATATGCTGTATAAATTCAAAATTCAGAATACCATTATTTCTAAGTCCCCTTTTGGTTCAATAATCGGCTCCTCTTAGGGAACTCTTCATAAGCACAGCCTTACATAGTAAACACCCACCACAGCCCCATCTATTTTTCAATCAAGGCTAACAGGCAGTGTGACGGTACTCACCAAGACGTTCTGCATTTTAACATCGCGATGGATCAGCTCCTCTCCGTGAAGATACTGCAAGGCTTTGGCAACGTCAAGAGCTACCTCAAGCCTCTTTCTCAAGGAGGGTATACCCGCTAAACCATCATGAAGATCGCATCTCATTCGCTCCGAGACAAGTTGCACAGAAAGGCCACGAGTTGGGTTGGACTCCACTACGGTGCATATAACGGGTAGAATGTTCGGATGGTGGAGAGCTCTTAAACCAAGAAGTTCATTTTAGTAAATTGTTCGAATAAGAAAAGACGAGGGCTTCAATAGCTTTCAAGAATTTCCTTAATCTTCCGAGTGTTCGGATAAACCCCTGTGAATATGGAAAAAAGAATCCTATTTGCCCTTAAGAATTGATTTCTAAAAATACGGGCGAATCTGTATCGATAACTCTAAACGAACCCACCGACCGATGAGACCGTGCGTTGTTTCGCACATATTTCAAAACGTTACGTTACCTTACCATCTTGATATTGCACATTACCTGGTATTATGAAGTTCCAGGGTCAAGTCCTTGAGCACTTCCTCTGAAGTGACACTTACCACCTTAACAACACAGGGCCTTCCTTCTGGAGTTTTAATGTTGTCACAGGCGAAGACTACACCCTGTGCCCCAGTCCCAATGCGCTCTCCTTTAGCTGGAAATCCAAACTTGAACCTGTCCATGACACCATATGCCATTATCTCAAGAAGTGCAAGATTGGGAGCAAAGCCAAGAATAGTTTCTCTTTGCATATCCTTGATAGTCTCTCCACGATCGAACAGGTCTTGCACTTTTCTTATTTCATTGGTGAAGTATTCATGGCAGTCACAAAGGTGCTGTTTCAAGCTGTTGACGATTTTCTGAGCCATGTCAGATGGATTTACTTTCGCAAGGGCATCTGAAGCAACATTTGTCTTCCATTTCTTCGAGCCAACTTGAACCTCTCCACTGATGGTCTTGATATGTGTGTCGATCGGGGTACGAATCGCCTCGTTGAACTTAATCGTTAATTTCTTTGTGAAACGGAGAGCTCCTCTGTTGCGTTGTGAAAACGTGATTTTAGCTTCGTAAGAAGAAAGAAGGCTTTTGGCAAGAGCGAGTGCTGCCGGTGGAATGTCGTTGTCTCTGACAATTTCTCCTTGAATTTGCTCCATGCCGTCTTTGAGGCCAACAAGGAACATATCTCTGGAGTGGAACATCATTGTTAAGTTTTGGTTGATCTCTCCTACGAGTTTATTGGCCACCATCCCCTGAATCTGGTACAAACAGTGAGCTACAGCTGCTTTCTCCTTTACATGACCACTTGAGGGAATGGTGAATTCGGTCAAAACGTATACAAAATCTGCTGCCTCCTTTAGGATGTCTTCTCTGGCTCCATTTATGGCATCACTGAGCAGCTCTTGTATATCCATGGCCCGCTTTTCGTCCTCCAGGTCGCGGATTATGTTCTCGTGAACTTGCTGTTCCTCGTGCAAAAGTGTTTCCAACGTCTTCAATATTTGCTTCTTTCCCCATTTTAAGACGTTGGCTTTCTGAATGAAGAAATCCAAGCATCTGGAAAGAGCACGCACGAGGATTTTGCACACACACTCTACCCTTGCACGTAAGGATTCTTCAGCGAACTTTTTCAAGCTGTTTTGAAATCCCTCAAAGGCTTCTGTGTAATCTGTAAACTCCTCGAAAGAAGCTTTGGGATCTTCCTTCTTCAAAGCGTGGTACTGCTGGATGCGCCAAGCTGACAGCCCATGGAATCGCTCGTTTTGATTCATGGGCAGTTGAGAAGGAAAATGGCCGTTTATGACAAGCCGCTCATACACCCGTGCCTTCTTTCTGTTCTGTGCTTCGAGCTCTGGCTTTTTCCGCGCCTTCACTGATGCTGCATAACCTCTTGGTTTATCGTCCTCATCTGATGATTCGGTACGATCTTCTGGTTCCAGTTTGCTAACAACGAAAAAAATTGATAAATCGGTCTCTGAGGATGTCATTTCATTCAGGACCTCTCTATCCTGGCAAGGAAACAAATAACAATTGGTAATAATTGATGATAAGACTGTGAAAAGAAAAATCATCAAATAGAGAGCGAATAATCTAATCGTTTTATTATAAATCTGTTAACTATTCAAAACTTAATAACAAAACAGGCTCAAATAGTTATTTCATTTTGTTTACAACCCCACAATATTACTAGTAAGACACTCACTTTACTTATTTATAAGGCGAATAGCGTTGCCAATCAGATTGCAGCAATTGGATTTGGAAACCCACGGCAATCACTTTCATCCGTGTCCACGGGGAGGAGAATTTGAACTCTGCTAGGGTGGGTGGAAAATTTGAACCAGCGGAATGTACGTGTTTGAATTTTTAATATGGAGGAGTTTAAAGGCAAAGTGTTCATCTTTGCGAACAAATGGCTTAGAAGTGAGTTTTCACATCGTAGAATGATGCATATAATCGAAAAACTTAACAGTGGAGAATTGCTGGGAGTGAAAGAGTTTTGTACATCTGTTGGCAAAGAATGGATTGATTTTATAAACTTTTATCTTCATTTCAATAATAATTTCGAAATAAATGCAACAGCAAGCGAACCAGAGTAAAAGCTATGCTGATGTTGTGATGTATACGTCGTTGTCATTTCACAACGTTCTTGTGTAAATTTAAACCACGACCGTTTAATTTCGATGACAGCAAACTTTTGCTTTAAAAAGCTTCGTATTTACAAACTACTCTGATCCAATAACTGATTCATGACTCAATATTTTAGAGACACAGTCCAAGTGACTTACAAAAACCGCAAATACAAATTGTAACCAATCGAGGAATCGATTGTATTGACAACAAAAACCTTACCTGCTTTGTGAAAAGATTATGTCCATCCACCACGTATATGACAAACGCCAGAGGATTTTCCAGCTGCTCCTTTACCAAGTTGTCCAGCGCTTTATTTTCATTTCTTCCAGGGGAGTCTATGATGCTTACACCGCACTTCAAGAACTCGATATTTAAACCGGTCTCCACGATCGCCCCCACTTTACTAGGGTCACCACGATCCTTCGGTTTGAGCTCGATCTTCTTTCGAGGGATTCTATTTCTATCCTTGCCTTTCATCTTTATCTCTTCTAAGGTTTTACCATGTGTGTCAACCAGGCGACAGTAAG